AATCCATACTTTTGCAGCCTGTACCTCATAAAATGTGGCTAAGGAAGATCCCTCATTTCCTGGGCATGATGGTTTTGAAGTCTACTGCTTTAGATAGAATCATATCTTTGATTCGGGGTATGACTCACATCTTGTTTAGCTGGTGGTGCAGAGAGAGCATGTGACTCTGAGCAGGGCCTTGGTTGTTGCAGGCAGCGCTGTCTCTGTCATTGCTAGTTTGCTTCCTGCTTAATCTGGTCACAGGACGCAGCTATCCAGCTTGAGATAACCCGTGCCTCTCGGCATCCAGTCTCATTCAGTTACTCCATTTCGCATTTTGGGTTCCGTTTCTATGAATGAGATTCCACCAAGGCCTTTTCACTCTCTGTAAACAAGATCCCTAAGAACCTAAAGTGGTCCACGACCACACCATTCTTATTCTCAGTGTTATGTAAGATTTCCTGAATAGTCAGCTCATTACTTAACTCTTCCTCTAGTAGTAGTGAAAAGAACAGAGAAGAATAATTTTTAAAAATATTAATAATTTTCTGGCTATATTTTCTGCTATTTAACTTCCATATTTCAAACCCCATTCCTTTTTTTAATTTAAAAAGTAATCTCTTGTGTTAGAAGATAAAACACAACAAAAAGTTTCCAAAATGTTTCCTAAGTGCATCTCACCTGTTGGGCTTGGATTCACAGAGGACGTTAAACAAAGATTGTCCTTAGCACATTTTCAGGAAACAGGACTGATGTAGGTAAGCATTCTTTGACAAGACACCCATAACAATGCTGGGTCTGGGTGTCTAACTAACCTATAGTACATCTATGCAAAGACAGTAGGAGACTTGGGCACTAGCAAGTTACTGAACACTGCACTTGAATTCCACTCACAGTGTAAAAATGTTTTTCATTGCAGATCAGGCAGAAGCTTTGAAGGCAGAGCTGATCCATAAAGGCCGCAGGTTGACTTGGCATGCATTATAGTTTGGAAATATATCCCATTGATAAGTATTTATTGGTCACATACTCTCCTAGGCTGTGGAAATGGATAGAGGAGTGAACTAGAATAAATACAAAATAATCAATAGCTTCCATATCAAACTAATGACTCACAGTTGTCAAAAGATGAAAGGGGGCACAGAGAAGAAAGAGAAATCCGGGCACTGTGAATCTGGTGGAGTCCCAGCAAGCCAATGAAGCCAGGACTCCTGGGATGCTTTAGATGACACTATGTTGGGAGCAAGTCAATCTGATGAACACAGGTGCCTATCAAGACAATGCAAATATAATCCCTTCTTGTTCTTAGAGACAGTAAATTGTCTTATGGTTCCTATTCTCTTGGCCAGTATAGCTTTCCTCTGGAACCAGGAGAGTGCAAACTGGTAATGATTCCACCTTCATGAAGCTACCTACAGGTACAGTCTGTGATGCTGATATTTAATCAAACAGGAGATTAACTCTCAGGTATATCCTTGGATGGTGTATGGGTGCCATTCTACTTCTGCCTCATGAAATTCTATTAATATCTTCTGCATAGTATACATTCTGGGCTTGTGTATATCTCTTTTGGCTGCAGAATGCAAAACCTTCTTACAACGTCCAATTTTCTTAACTGGTCCACAAATTTGCTCTCATGGGAATTATTCACTGATCTTTTAAATCTTAGAAATGTTTCTGGCTTAAAGGAAAAACAAGAGTATCAAAGGGTCTCTTAAATTAAGCTTATTGAATACAATGACAAAATTTTAAACGTTAGAAGTGCTGTGACTCAAAGTAAAAACAAAGATGTCAATGGTCTTTCAGACATATAATATTAATAACTTGCAGATAATTGATTCTTTTGGTAGCCACTGTATCTTACCCTGGTTTGACTCCTTCAATGTGCTGATGTGAAAACTATGTACTTTTGATAGTTTCTTTATTCTAATGGGAAAGCACACTAAGCTAATTCTTAAAATTATTTCTTCTAAAAGAGATGACGGGTGAAATCTGTTGAAAGAAATATAAACAGGTGATTGATGGGGCTTCTGAGAACACTGCCGTGTGAGAAGAGTTCTTCTTGCTGTCTTGGTTGGTGCGGTGAGAGGCTGTGGTGAAACAGCTCTTCCTCTCTGAGAATAGCATGACCTTCTTGTCTCATTCTCACACCTGCTTTGCCAAAGCCAGTTTTCCCCTCAGCAGATGCAGTGGAAGGCGATCCACAGGAGTCAAGCCCACTGAGCATATAAGCCACCCACCAGCAGCTGAGGTTTTGATACTGGCCTCACAGTCCAGAAAGGAATAGGAAGCCTCAAAATGTAATGGCCCCTTTCTTTGGTACACATTCTTCTCCTGGTTCTTCATAATGGAATTGACTGATTTTAACCCTTGGCACTCAGAGATTGGTATTGATTTGGGAACATGGCTTCAAAGGTTTCAGTGGCTTGTCTCCTGGAAACGCTCAGGCCACAAGCAGAACTGATGACAATCATCACTCTGTGAGAGCCTTAGAACAGAGTGGAGACCTGAAATGGAGAGAAAATGACAGATGGAGAGAGGCTGCCTCCTTCTGGGGCTATCAGGAGACTCTGCTTCTACCTTGATGGGATAAAGTGCTACACAAATGCAGGCTATTATCAAATGTCAGGCACTGTGTTACTAAACGCAGACCAGTGCTTTCATTTCCAAGGGAACTGGGAAATAAAGTACCCTTGCACAAGTTTCATACTTCATCATGTCTGAAATCGTACTTAGCAATATCATTCAAAATCCATTTACCCAAGATTATTATTGAAGCTGCAAAGTGTATATAGTAAATCACCAAGAATTCGGGCTCCACTAATTGTAGTCATTTAGAAAGCATTTGAGTGAAAATTTAGTTTTATTTCATTTAAACTAAAAGAAAAAATGGAGAGAAGTTGTTAAGTAAATCCATAATGGTAAGATGATCAAAAGGGCTTTGCTTATATAAGTTTCACAGGTCTCTGGGGGTACCTATTTGCTTATAAGTTTAATCAGTATGTTAGTCATAAAGAGCTCCACGTATTATTAAAACACAGTCTCAGATCACCAATACTTTATTATGCAACTGCAGCTAAAGATATTTTCTATGTAGCAAGATTCTCCCCTGTATGCATCATATCTTGATAATATTGTCAAAATATAAATGAAATATAAATTGACTTTAAAACATTCTGCTTGGTACAGAATAATTTCCATATTTATGATATAAATGTTAAAATATTTTATTTTAAAAGTTATACATACTTATATGGTAAGCTACAGATGTACTGAAAACAAGAACTTGTCTTAATGGAAGTATTTGGAATATCGTTTCTAGGAATCACAGTTTGAGAAGTTTTTGAATTACCAACTTTGAGTTTAATTTATACTATCAACCTTGTCATTTTATCACATTCTCAAACTGCACGTCTCATTAACATGACCCTGATTTAAAAGAATTTCTTCAATTAGTTTGAAATAGAAACTTACAATAAAAAAAAATGAGGCTCTTGTATTTCTATTTTACAAGTGTTTCCAAAATACTTTTCTCTCTCTTAGCTAACAACATGCTTTGTTCACAGTTCACTTCCCTGATGGTGCTTTTGGGTCATTTAAAATGTTGTCAGTGTAATGTTTCCATTAAGGTGATGAAATTTCTTCTTTGAAAATGATAAGGCCTTGTTCACACTTTATTTTTTCATACTTTTACCAAGATTCAACATTATTACTCATAAAACCATTGTATTGACAGCTGAGAATGAGAGTTTGAAAGTGTACTGTTAATATTCTTATACCTGCAGGGATGGACCACACGCCTCTAGCAAGCCAACCATATTCGAAGCATGCCCAGCATTGAGCAGCACTTCTAGGACCATGAGGGATAGTATAACTCTGCCACCAGTATTAAGGAATGGGAGAGGTTAATGTGGAAGAGATATGGTGCCTACTGTTGATTCCTGCTCTTTGCATCTTGCTCATAACCTCATTCCCCAGTGCAGAAAGCAAATGTCTAGTCATGAAATACACATAACCTTGCTGAATGGCTAAAATGGGAGAGGTGACCTTCTAGCCCCTCTCCTATGGCTAGTCTATCAGCCTTCTACCATGGAATGTTGTATGCTTTGCATTTCTATCCACCTGCGGACCCTGTGAACTACTCTCTTCTCTAAGTGTTTGGTCTTAACCCCTTTTCCCTAAGGTGCTTTTTATCTGTTCATTAAGCTATAAATTTCTCTACCCTAAAGTATAGTGATCCCCTCTTTTTTATCAACAGAAATTTCCTTTCAGGACTTGTCACAAGTAACAAAATTCTTGGATTTCAAGTCTGTTATATAAAATGGCATGATTTTTGCATATAATTTATGTGTCCTCTCATACCCTTGAAATCATCTCTAAATACACATATACTTCATGCAATATAAATGCTCTGTTTAGGAAATGATGAAAAAACTTCACTGATGAAGACTTTCTGAATAACTTCAATTGGAGATAGGTGGACCCACGGATGAAGAACCTATGGGTACAGAAGGGTGACTATATTGATAACATTTTAGTGCACACTTTGGATCCGTGCTGTCCCATAAAACTTGTAATGATGAAAATGTTTTTATTTGAGCTCTCCAGTATGGCAGTCACTAGTCACATATGGCTAATGAGCAGATGAAATATGGTTAGTGCAATGGAGAAATTGAAGTTTTTGTTCACCTAATTTTAATTAGTGTAAGCTTATATAGCCACAACTGGCCAATGACTATCTTATTGAATAGTACAATAGAGCTCTAGAGATGTTTTCTTACTGCAGAAGTGGTGGGGGGAACAGTAACTGACCACGGAGCAGGTAAGACTAGGACTACCTTTGCACGTATCCTATCCCAGAAAGCCACGTCAGAGGAGAAAGACAATCTGAACCTCCCTGATTGGCTCATTCCTTGTTCATTGCGAGCTATGAATCACACTGCATAGATGATATCTCAGGGAGCATGGAAGTGTACTACGGCTCCCATATTTTTACACCATGTCTTTCTTTCTCCCTTCAGGTTTCTGAAGAAGACTTTTTGAATTATTATGCAGGTGTTAGTGCTTCCATTGACACTGATGCCTATTTCGTTTTGATGATGACAAAAACCTGGAGATTATGACTTTCTTCTAATAATTTTTTTGTAAACCTGGAACTTTCAGAGAGGAGAATGAGTTTAAAGGAAGTCCAAGATTATGGATTTTGATAAGGTGCAAACTCAGGTGTCTGTCTGGGGATGTTGCTCAGTGCCACAGTGACTGCATGGCAAGTGTGAGGCCCTGAGTTAGATGCCTGGTACCAAACTTAAGTCTCTGAAAGATCTGGAATTCAAAAACAGTAGATCTTCAGTAATCTAACTTAGTTACCTGGAATATGTTCATTTTCATAAAAGTCTCAGAATATGATTTTAAGTTCTAAGGAAAAGAAAGAAGGTAGTGAAGGTGGAAGGAAAGAGGAAAAGAGAAAGAAGAAAGGAAGAAGAAAGGAAACCATTAACTGAGATTGGAAAATGGTTCTTAGATAAAAATATTTTACTTGTTTTGGGTGATCCTTTTGTAGATGTAAATGTAAATGGTTCCCCGTGGTTCTACTTTGTTTATTGTACTGAGACTCTGTAGAAGAAAGTGAAAATAGAAGGATTGGAGGCACATCTAACTATGTAAAATTTGCAGAGCTTACTTATTTTAATCTTTTTCTTGGTGAATACAAATAAAAGAAAATTTACTTTATTCTGAAATGTATGGCTTTTTCTTTCCATATTTAGATTTTATTTTTATTTATTTATTTTGAGACAGGGTCTCACTGTGTAATTCAGGGTGGCCTTCAACTCACTATGTAGCCTGGGCTGGCCTGAAACTTGTAGTGATCCTCCTGCCTCAGCCTCTTGAGTACTGGGATTACAGGTGTGTGCCACCACACCTAGGTATATTTGTATTTTAATGAATGGGTTTATACTCAGCAAATTCCCATACTTGCATAAACAGGGGACAAAATGACACTGGTGAAGAGAGGAAGTGAGGGACTGGCCTACTGGACGAAAGACTGGGCTTCCATGGAATGGGCTCACTTATTGGGTCAGACTATTAGAATGGGAAGAAAAAGCGTGGGGAAGAAGTGTTTGTCACAAACTTTGGGAACTTTCTGAAGTTTTAGGGTATATCAGAGAAATAAATTTTGAATCAGATCTTTCAAAATTTTTGAAGGTATTTCTAGGCTCCTCCATAGTACTGCGATGTCATTTTGTGACTGATTTTCTCTCCCTAATAACTACTTCCCAAGTAACAAATGAGCTGTAAGTTGATTGCACACTCCCATAGGTCCTTTGCCTTGGAGAAAGGGTGGAAATGAGGGTGGCAGAGCAGGCGGAAGTCTGAGGCTGGGCTGCTCAGCATTTAGGGAGCACACAGCCTGCCTGGGAATGTTGTTAAGGGCTAACTGATTCAAAAGGCAGGAGTAGGGGCTGAACGTCTGCCTATCTGATGAACTTCTCTGGGAAATGTAGTCCCTGCAGGAAAGCTTCTTGCCAGTTCAAATCTACTAACATGAGTGTGGTACAAATTTTGGTGGCCAAGTAGCTGCCTTTGCCTCTTGAACTCATGGCCCTTGCTTTCTATCATTTTATTTGTGAACATGGTTGATGCCCATGTGAGGCAATGATTTTTCCATTCAGAACGCCCTGTCACCTGAGCCTCTTGGCCTCAGTGCAGCCTTGAAATTTGTGCTACAACAACATGGAGGCAACATAGAGACAACCTTGTCTGTGTTTGTCATACAGGGCTGGGAGTTTCTCATCTATGCACATTTCTGTGGGATATTGAGTGGAGCCTTCTCATGACTTCTGGAACTCAGTTATTTATTTATGTTGGTAAATGCAAGAACTTTTGCCCTAGAGACAGATATCTCATTGGAAGGCTAATTTTAATAGGTTGTTTTGTCATTAGAATCTAAACAAGTGTCATGAAGATTAAAACAGTAGTACAGTTAAACTAGGATTTAACGCATTCATCTGCCAGTGGGATATACCTCTCACTTTACAAAGTCCTTGGATGGACTAAAAAAGATACCCTCTCTAGTCTTTCTTTTTTAATATTTCATAGCTGAAAAATGACCTACACGATGTGGGAGTCACACTCTTCACTTTAGTTTCATTTCTTTTCCGTATTAATGAAGTTAGTCAGGATCTGGCATATCTTGTCTGCTTGGGAGAGATATTTGTCTCCTTAGAGCTTTTTAAAAAATATACTTCTTACTATGGTGTGAATTTTGTGTCTTCCCCAAAATTTACATGCTGAGCTTCTAGTCCCCATGGTGGTTGAATTAGAAAATGGAAATATTTGGAGAGGTGATTAAGTCATGAAGTAGAGCACCCATAAATGGAATCAGAGTTACAAAACAGGCCAACAGGATTTGTTAAAGAAGTCTGTCATGAGAAGATGTCAACTGGATTTGAGCCTCATCAGATCCTCCAGTGCCTTAATCTTGGACTTCCAGCCTCCAGAACTGTGAGAATTAAGTTTGTGTTGTTAATTAAGCCATAATCTATATTTGTTATAGCATCCTGAATTGACTACATCTTTCTTCTAATTCATTGTATATGAATTATCACAGTATTTTAATGTTTCTGAATGCTGTATTATTTCTTTGTTATTTTGAATGTGCATTAAAGTAGCCCCAAAGAGCTGACTATGGAAATCAGATCATATTGGTGTGCTCAAAGAAGAGAGAATGGCTTCATCTGGAGATTATTAATTAGAATAATCAATGAGATTTAATAAATCATTACATCTTGTTTCCCATGTTTCAGTTATATGTGTTGTGTGATAAAGAATCTACCCAGCCTTTGTCTCAGGTTTCTGGTGCAGAGATTCTAAAACTCATGGATTTCCTGGGTGCTGAGTGTCTTTGTCACACTAACACGATGGCTCAGGGTGTGCTTCTAGATAGCTTCGGAATATAGCTGGTCACCAGAAAGTCCAGCTGTAAGGGGAGAAAGTCGGAACTTTATACCAGCCAGGTCTTTGGGGACTACAGGGGTACTGGAGACTGAGTTCAGTCACATGGAAAAGCACTTAATTAATTGTCTCCCAATAAAAACTCTGAATTCTGGGTCTAAGTATAGCTTTCTGATTGCTAGATACATTGGTGTGCTTGGAATATGATATGCTCTAAATTCCATGAGAAAAGAATGATCTACATTTCCTCTCAGACACTGGCCTACATATCTCTTTATCAAGTTGGTCTTCCTGCTTTGTGTCTTTTATAGCAGAACTATAAGTTTAATAGTATAAATTATGAGAGGGGATGTAGGACCCTGCATGCTTTAACCTAAAGGGTTTAAATTCAAGACTGCAGCATAAAGTCTTTCCTGAGTTTCTAGCTTGTTCTGCCTGCTCTGCAGAATTCAACTCCTGACTGTAACATTAACACCTGAGTTTCAAGATTGGTGACTTGTTCTACAAATTTTGTACTTGCCAGGCCTCATGATATGAACTGATTTCTTACATTCTCTGACTCAATACACACACACACTAGAGTCTTGATTTCTCAAGAGAATACTGAATAAGAAATATGAGTGGCCTGGTGATGCACAAACTAAGCACAAAATATCTGAAGGAAGAGTAATCTTGTGGGGTTCTTCAACTTAACTTGTGAAAAATGCTTTAACTCTAGGTGATTGGTGTCTGAACTGAATTACTGCAAATCCATTTGAGTTTGAAATGGAGTTAAGAAGAGTCACAATTCAATAAATTGTCTCATATTTTAAGGGTCAATTCAAAAGTCAAAGTCTTTACAAAGGTTTTAAAAATTTTTCAGCAAAATTAATCTTCTGTTTCATTATTTTATATGTATTTCCTTGTTGTGTGTATACATATTTTAAAAAATTTTTTATTTTAAAGAGAATAGAAAATAATAAAGAAAATATTAGAAGTGATACAGAATTTCACAAAACAAGATGATAGGAATTCAACAATGGTTGTTGTATTGCATGTTGTTGTCTTCACAGTAGTTGTTCAGGTTACCACATACAGGCATATAAAAGTGGTCAAAAAATTTAAGCATTAATTGTTCCTTTCAATAAACCAGTAGAAATTAGTAGTACAATTATCTTAGCTATCGTATGTGTACATATATAGATATTTTTTTCCTTCCTTCCTTTCTTCTTTCTTTTCTCCTTTCCACCATCCCAGTTGTCCTTTCCTTTTGAGCAGTTTCTTTCTCTTTCATCATATCTACTATACCTTTTGGATTTTATTTACTCTTTCAGGTTCTTACACTATGGGGACATTTTTCCAGAAGAACTGAAAACATCATACCACAGCGATCTATGTGCACCCATGTTTATAGCAGTGCAATTTGCCATACTTAAATCTTGGAAATAACCCAAATGCCCATCAAGTGAGGAATGCATAAAAAGATTTTTTTATACAGTGTAGACATATTTTCATAGTAAATCTACTTATCATATGCATAAAATATTTTTACAGTCTCTGGCATTCAGACGTGGAGTCCTTCTCTATACAAACTGGTAGGCAGAATGCAGGTCAAGCCTTATTGGGGCACTACCCAAGCCTGTGCCAAGGGCTTGGATCTGAAGAAGCATTAAGTTGTATAGGAAAAGGAGGGTATGCATTTTCTACTTGTTCATCCAAGTTGTCCCTGTGATATCACTTCTCTTCTTTTTAGGGTTCCTTAATTCCACTGAATTTTGGCAACTTCTCTACTATACCTCTGAGATGACAATTCTGACAAGTTTCTAGTGGAGTAGATGAAGAGCTTAGTTTTGAGATATTATGATAAACCTAAGTGAGAATTCCAACAAGCAATTGCATATTCATTCATTCAAGCAAGAAATCAGATATTGATTGAGGAAACATTAGGTGCTACTAGTGAGAAGTACTCTACAGGCTGGGGATCTACCCTTGAACAAAAAATTAATATATTTCTTCACAGACATTCTGGCTAGCAGACATGATTCTGAAATTGAAGGCATAGGTCTAGATGTATCAGAAAATCTTGAGGTTGAAGAAGAGAGAAACAGATGAACGAAGCCCAGCTACTAGACAGATCGGATGGTTGATGAAGCAAGACTGAAGTAGGAGGCAGGGAGAGAGTTAAAGGCATTAACAGTTGGTTTTGTTTTCTACAGATGACAGGACAGTTATTCGTTAACTGGGAGAAAGTTAGTGGGGCTTTAAGGGTATTTTGGAGTTTGTACATTTGGATGGGAAAGAGGGGAAGCCTGGGTTATATTCCCAATTGTTGAAAAGTTTGAGCAAAAGCATTTTCTGTGAACAAGGTAGGTTAGACTGAATGAAGGACTGGAATCAGAAGATGGAGGCTTGGCGACAGTCACTGAAGGCATTGGGGGAGGGTGCTGCTAAGCAGAAACAAAGAAAACCTAAATGTGTGTGGACACCTTTTGCCGGCACTGTAGATTTTCCAAGAAAAGTGTTCAATACATACAGTGAAGCAGGGACGTGAAATGTAGGGACATGTTTTACAGTTTTACTGAACAGTCATTATAACTACAATTTGCATGTAAAAGGTGGCCAGCGAACTATGATGAAATTTAGCAGCTAATTAAAAGATGGGAGGGTAGAAAATCTTAAAACATACCAGTCTGCTGTTCACACCCCAAGGAAAAAATTAAATTATGATTCTAAACAATAAGACCTCTTTATTTAATCAAATAAATAGATTATTTGATTAAATATGAGATTATTTGATTAAAGCTTA